AAAGATTCGGCGCAAGTTTATTGTCAGAAACTTTAGTTCTTTCATTCCAATGCCAAAATTTGTATTTATTAAATTGTTTTTGCGAATGCAAATAACACACCTCTTTCGTTCGTTTTTATCTGTCGCACTCGTTTTTTCATCGTATAACAATTTATTTATGGCCTACTTTCAGGTAATATTAAACTGGTTTTTCAACTTTTCTTTCCAGTTAAAAGTAGTATAAATTTTACGCTTATGTATGTACACGTATATATGCATTCAGCTGCCTTAATTATTTTTGCATGAAAATAGCTCACACGCCGCAGAAAAAATTTGCAACTCATCAACGGAATGTAAATAACAGAAACTCGTTAGGGATGCAGGAGTTACTCGTTATGCAAAATGTTATCGATTACATTTAAGCTTAGCTTGCACTTAAATATTATTATCGGTGTTGAGTTCGCATCATTTTGCGTATTATGTTTTGCTATTAATTTTTAGGGTGATTCATTAAACACTATTTACTATTGTTTGTGAAAGTTGTTAATATTTTACGAATTTTTGTAAATTTCTTCATTATTAATACATATGCTAGCATACGTGTATGTATCATATTCAAGGCGGAAGTAAATGGTTGATATGTTACACTCATATCTTTTTTATGTAGTAAATGCCTGCTGTATGTGAGTAATGGGGATTTGCTGACGTCATGGGAAGCATTTACTCGCTCCTTTATGCCATTGTCCTTGCAGCCATTTTTGTTTTGAAGATTTTTTGTTATTTATATACTATGAATTTGTGTATGCGTGTATGTATTGTATTTGTATGTAAGAATTTGTTATTAGGGTTTTCATTCACATATTTAGCCATTTGACAGCATACACCCACACATTTGTATATATATAAATTTTACGGATAAATCATTTTTTTAGCAATTGACGTCGCATTTTGTTTGCGAAGATTAAAGCTTGTGCGAGTATTGATAAGTATGGGAGAGGATGCTATTTTTAACCTTTAAACGTCATAAAGAAAATGGAGTCAATGGAAAGCGCCATAGAGCTGCAAAAAAATAAGTTCTCCGGATTATTATTAATTATTTTTTAATTTTTCTTTATTTTTGCATAAAGTAAGAAAACTCACAGGATATTACTAAATTTACATTGGTTTATACATATGTATTGTATATATATAAAAAAGTTAATACTGGACCACTTAATTATCTAACAGATCTAATTTCTTATAGCAAATTTTCACTGGTTATTACTTATTTATAAGTACACACCTCTTACGAGGTTTGGTATTTATTTGTTCATGAATATCTATTTTGTCCCCTTCAAAGTAATCCGCATGAGATATTATACACTTGTGCCAACAGTTTTTCCGATCTTCGAAGCACTTCAATTCATTCATTTTTTTTTATCTTGTTCAGCTCCTCCTTCGATGCCGTCTTTATCTCGTCAATCGTAGCGTAATGTCGTCCTTTCATGGGCCTCTTCAGTTTAGGGAACAAAAAAAGTCACAGGGGGCAGATCTGGGGAATACGGTAGCTGCGGCATCATTAGTGTGTTGTTTTTGACCAAAAATTCGCGCACAAGCAACGATGTGTGAGCAGGGGCGTTATCATGGTGCAAAAGCCAATATTTGTTCTTTCACAAATCCGGGCGTTTCTGGCGGATTGCTTCGCGCAAATTGCGCATAACTTACAGGTAATATTCCTTTTTGACGCCCCTGCAATTAATTTTTTCGTCTGTGGTTGAAGTGCCCGGGCGTCCGGCCCGCTCTTCGTCGTTCACACCTTCTCGGCCTTCTGAGAACATTTTGTACCACCGACAGTACCGACCGTTGCTTCGGTCCAAGGTAGCTTCTCCGCATGTCACAGTCAACATGCGGAATGCATCCGCGCACTTAATTTCGTTTTTCTTACAAAATTTGATACAGTTTCTTTGATCCATTTTTTTGGATAGGTAAAAATCGAAGACCATCCAAAACACGTGCAAGCAAAGCAGCTGTCAACAATTAAGTGAACATTTAAAATGGCCGAGCTTGTCGGCATAAGTGACAGACATGAGTACCAACATAACGCCACAAAAAAATCGAAATTCGATTATACGTAATCGCGAAAATTCAAAATTCTCGATACTTTTTGAGCACACCTTTTACATTAAAAATTAATGAAATGAATTATTTTCCGTTTAGTCTGCAAAATTTCACAATTAAAGCAAAATCGAAACACTTAAATACAATGTAAATAAAAAAAAAGCCGCTCAAATATTCCCACAATTATCTCATACAAACGTATGTGTGTTATTTTTAAAGCTACATTCAATAACATACATACATAAATCAATCACGCGCAGATGTGGCAAGATCACGAGTGTAAATGCGCCTGCTGACTTACTTATATATGTATATACACACGCATACAATGTAATCGAATGCCAAGTGTCCAAATAGGCAGGCTCAACCTGTCTGCAAAGCATGACTCTGTGGCCAAAAAAGCGTTAAACCACTGATCGCACTGTAGGCTGACCTGTCTGGTAGACTTTCCATCTTATTGTTGTACATGTAGCCACGTCATTATGCCGAAACGGTAAATCTCGCTTTAATTTACACAAAATCATTTGTTGTTTTTTTTCGCAAAATTCAAAGCTTTGCGTTCATTTTTTTATTTGTTTGGTATTTTTCAACTTTTTGCTACCACACATGTAACGCCATTCAATTTTCGGCTTAATGTAAAGAGTAGCTGTATGCTGTATGAGCTGCTGTTGCTGCCGCAGTGTGTCTCTGTTTCACATTGCTTATTTATGTTATTACTCGTCAGAGCTGTGTTTATTGAGCACAAGTGCACTACAGGATGATTGCTACTGGCTTTAGTTGGTAATTCATACAAAAAAATGCATATATTTGATTAGTTTCGTAGCGCGTATGTATCTGTATGTATATGTGACGTAGCAGATGTAATTAAATACAAATAAACATATTTATGAATTTCAATTAGTTTATAATTTGTAGAAAAGTTTCAACCCCATAACTTTAGCGAAGTTGTGTAAAAAATTCATTTGGTAACGGCTCTTTCACACACAATCACCAGTCACTATTCAGCTTTTTGTGCTATGATTGACAGTCAATGTTGAAAGTCGCAGCAATTACTTTTAGAATAAATACATACATATATGATGTATGTATGTATATGTACATATGTATGTTTTGCACAGTCTATCTTTTGTTTGTTTGTTTCAAAGTGCACACGTACATTTATACGAATACATATGCACATGCAAGTGTTGAAGTGTATACTATATAACAGCTACAGCTTAGCTTAATTCTGCTAATCCGCTAAGAAACTTAAGTTCTTACTTTTCAAAAGCGTTAAGCCATGTTTTTTGTTCTTTTTTATTTACTTTTTTATTTTACAACACACACATAAATGTATATGTGCTGGTATGTTCTATGTGCCATAAGTAAAGTCTCGATACATAGGCTTGTGCTTATTTCTACCACAAGCATTTCCATGTTAATTATTTGTTTACACGCGCACTTAACGTTGGCCCAGAGGGTATTACAACGCATTAAAGCTCTCTCTAGTGGTTCATAAAGTGTTGTATGCTTTTTATCCAAATTATTTCATACGTCATTATTACGTACATACATACATGAATATATTTGAGCAAGAAAAGCTTTTATTTAAAACTCATACGTATTTTTCTGCTCTTTGTGCTCATTTGCTAGCAGATTTGCTCTACGTGCTTCGCTTGTTTCGTGTGTTTAACTCTCTGCTTTAGCTTTTAAGCTCAGATTTTTGAAGCTGTATTTTATTTACAAACATGCTTGAATTAAAACCCAATAAAAAAATATAGCAAAAAGCTGACAAAACTTGTACTGAGTATGTTTATTGCCACATTTAATTTATGGTGTACTGCTTATCAGTCATTTTATTGTCTGTTTGTTGTTGTTTATGTGTTGTAAAAGTTGATAATACCGAATGTGAGAAAAAAACACTATTTGTAGTTTATTTCTGAAGTGCTTGTGATTAACGGTGACTTAGATTTATCGATAAATTTACACCCGCCTTGCTCATACCATACTTATTTCTACATACCACAAGCGCTAATCATCTTAAAAACAAATTTTAAAACTAACTTTTTTTTACCCAAGTCAATGTGGCTTTTAAAAATATTTTTAAATTTTTCCTGATACCCTCGGAAGTCAATTTAAAAGAAAATGTGAAAATTCACTTTGTTATATTCTCACACATGTACTTTTAATTTTATTAATTAATTTGACATTTATATCAAGATATTAAATACAACCAGATATTAAGAACTATATTTATTCCATAATATTTTCGCTCTTATCAACATTTAATCACGAATAAAAAAGAACTGATAAACCGCTTGTAAAGTGATAAGAAAAAAATTTAAAAATTTAATGCTGCCAAACATTTGTTGCACAGCGTTCGTGACGCACCAAATTTGTTTACACGAATCAACGAAGTAAACAGAGAGTGGCAAAAAGTTGTTGAGAATTCTAAACCAACAGAGCGAGTTGGCTAACAAATGACAGCAAAGCCGTGAGAGCGTCTGAGAATCAGGGAGTAGGAATGAGTAGACAAGAGAAGGGGTACAAATGAGAGGTGAGCAGTGAGAATGAGACGTGAGTGTATACTTTACGTCATTACTTTTGTGACGTCATTAAACAAAGCGAAAAAATAATCACAGAATACATTCAACTGTTAGATGTGTGAATCATTAAACGCTGCTGAGTAGTTACTAACTGATATTATATGGTATACAAACATACATACATACTCATGCCGCTTTGAAGCACCACAAATTCGCTTATTATTTACCAAGAGAGATGAGTTGGTAAGCAATTTGCACGCTTAAAGCGCAGACTCGTTTCTTCGCACATTCTCTTACCAGCTACCACTATCTCTCTCTCTCCTGTAACTCATTGTGTTTTGACGAAGCCCAAGTTTCGCGATGATGATGACTTCTGCCATCGATAGCGGCAACCGCAACACCACGGCCGACCATCGTAGCTCTGACGTTCAGGCAAGCGTTTTCTCATGCATTTTACGACATAAATCAGCAGTGAGTCAACGAATTTCATTCAGTTTGTGTAAAACAAGCGGCGAGCAATGCAGTAAAATAGTTAAATACGTTTGTTGTTGTGACGTTAGTAGGCTTTAAAGCAGCCTTCACCGCACCAAACGCCGACCAAAGCCTGTACATGTGTGTGTATTTAGGTGGCTTACAAAGGAAAAAGAGATAAAGAATAAGTTATACAAAAATCGTGAAAAAAATTCGCAAAATCTTTGTTAAGAAAAAACGAATTTGTATTTGAATACACAGCTTGTCTCGATGCGATACCTCGATGCAGAGGCGCTCAGCGAAATTATGTGCGAAATTAATACACATTGGTGTTGATAACAAGTAGCGAGTCGGAAGCATTTGTAGGCTCGTGCGAGCGAGAGCAAACGGTGCAGAAACGTCGAGTGCAGCAAAAAGTGGTGCTTGAAAATTGAAAAATTTTCTAAAGAAAGCATTAGAGCATTTAATTTTTAGTATACCAAGAGATGTGGCGGCAAACGGACGGAAAAATATACGAAAAAAGCAAATAAAAAGGAAGAGTGTGAGAAATATATTGATAAAGTGCCGTATAAAGGATAAAAAAAAAAACAAAAAAATTAAGATAAACACCACCAAATTATCATCACAGCAACTTCGATTTCAACAGGCGTCAAACCCAGCTAAAAATAGCCACAACACCCTGCATACAGGCAAAGCGGTGGCAAACTATCCACCCACTGCTCTGAACGCCTACACGCGTCAGCAAAAGCAAACATCTACGCCAGCCAGTTTGTGTCGTCGTACATCATAAACGAAGCGCTCAAAAGGGCACATCGTGCTCAAAAGCCGTAGCAGTGCAAGCTAGCGTCTCGCAGCAGTAACAGTAAAATAGGCAAAAATAACTGAATTTTGCATTAAAAGGCCAAAAGATAAAATATCACATAGAATAATTTTGCACATCTGCCAACACTAACAGCGCTCGGCACTTGTCAATTGCACGTCAAAATGTTCACACGCCAATCTCAAAACCGCCATCAACAGCTGCAGCAGCATGCTCGACGTCAACCACAGCTGTTTCTAGCATTTGCCTTGACTTTGCTTTTACATTGCCTGTCTGTGACACAGGCATTTGTGATTAAAGAAGATGAATCCTTCCTACAAACGCCCTACTATCATTCGCAGGCTGAAATTGAAGATATGTTCGCACGTTTCGCCAAGACATTCCCGGAGAATGCGCGTGTCGAGACCATTGGTCGTTCGTTGGAGGGACGTAATTTGATTGTGTTGCAAATAGGTAGAAATGTACAACAACCAAGCACACCGCTTACGCCCATGGTCAAGTATATTGGCAATATGCATGGTGATGAGACAATCGGTCGCCAGCTGCTCGTCTATTTGGCACAATATTTATTGTACAACTATGAAACAAGCTTGGAGGTGGCGAATTTGGTTAACACAACAGATATTTATCTAATGCCGACAATGAATCCCGATGGTTATGAGCGCTCACAGGTGAAAACAAATTAAAAAATTAGGATATAAAGTGTGTAGAGATTATATGTAGAAATGATAAAAAAAAAAAAAAAAAAACATATGGCAACAAAAAAAAACATAAGCGAAATAATTTTTTTTCGCTAAATTAAAAAAAAATTTAAAATGTGTGAAGAAGTGCGAAAATATTTCAGTTCCCTTAAAATTATATTTTTATGTAACTAAAATGAAGCGTTTGGGTTGCGAAATGTTATTCATTAATTTATTTTGTCAACGTGTTCGTTGTTTTCGTTGTGCATGGACTATGAAATGTTTATTTAGTGTTTTCTTTTTGTTGTTAAAACTTTGCCTTTTATCAAAACTAATATGTTTATTGTATTTTTAACACTTTGTATGCAGCGCGTGTACTTTCATTATATTTCTAAACGCGTCGCTGTACAACTCTGTGAGTTTATTATATTTTGTTAAATGTTGTTGTTGTCGCAAATTAAAAGTTAAAAAGAAAAACATAACATATTGTGGCAATTTAATGTGCTCAGTACAACACTGTTTAACAAGCCCTGCTACAGTTCCGATTTATTTTACATTTTGTACGCCGTAAAGCTGTCAATTTCCTTGACATTGTTTTTCGACGCATACCGCTTTTCCTCTTACACACAATATTCCAGAGTATTTTTTGCCCTCATTTATTTGAGCCACAATTGATTTAGATACTCCGCTTGAAGCGGCTTCCATTAGAGACTAATCGATTAACTTTAAGTTATCGATGAACTGTAAACATCCTTTGACAGCAGAAATTAATAAGCAGCCAATATATTTTTATTTTAAGAGATCTATGCATTTTTTTTTTATTTTTTCGCTATGAAAAAAACATCGAACAACAACAATGTGTGTAGAATTTTTAGTGAAAGTACATATTTAGTCATTTTCAGCTATTTATTTTGCTCTTTAACACTTATGCTCCCGCATGCTAATTGTTCCAGTTTAAGAACGAGCCTGTGCTACTTTATATTTATCTGCGCTCAAATGTAAATAAATTCTTGTTAATTAGCAACTAAATGTTTTCGTTAGTAAACGTTATTCTATATGATTATTAGGCATGTACAAGTCGAAAAAGAGCACAAGCCTTGCAATATAAAATGATGATTTCAGCTAGTTGCTTTTCCTTTAGTTTCATTTTTACTACATAAATATGTATATATGAAAACCACTTAGTAGAATTTAGACCAGAAAAAGTTGTAGTTAAGAAAAGAGAAGTGAGAAAAGTGCTGCTATTAATTTTCATATAATATTTTTTTAAACATTTCAAGTAGCTTTTAACTTATCGGAAATAATTTATTTATTTATTTTTTAATTCGTAAAACATGTCCTAGCGCAATGATAACACCTGTTTACCACAACAAAGATATGTATGTATATTTTTTTCATTTTTGCACCAAAACAACAATAAATGTCTTTTAGTCCTGCAGTTTGTGAAAAATGTATCCGTAGTTTTATATACACGAATATGTATATAGCAAAAAATACACTTTCCAACCAGTGCTTACTAAATACACATTTTATCATGTTATATGGCAGATATTGTATGTATGTACATACATATCTGCAATGGAGTTTGTTTTCTCTTTTCGGTGAAAAATCAATATAGGCCAACAGTGGAGTTGGGTTGATATTTCAGAATTAGAATACACACACAAAATTATAGGTGCATACATACACGTACATTCACATACATACATACATATAATTTTATGGCGTACAGACAACGGCAGGAAAATTATGACAACTCAAAATGGCTTGAGCACGATTGATATTACAAGTTAGCCAAAGGAAAATATATAAAAATCACCGAAAAAACACTAACAACAATATATTGTAACTAACTGCCGCTCAATGTAGGCGCTGTTGTGTGACGAACGTTTCGCGTTTGTCATTTGACGGGAAAATAGAGAATTGATACTGTTGCTGAATAAATATAAAAAAATAAATTGTTGTTAGTTTGATGTTTGTACGTTAGTAGTGGAGCACTTATTATTAGTTAGATGCTGTGTATATGTTTGTATATTGGTTACTATGCGCCGAAAGTGTACTATGTGTAATTAACGAGTACACAAAACGAATAAAAAACAGTCAAACAGCCTAAATCACTGCTTTAATGCCGCTTGGTATATTTAATTTTTATTTTCAAACCGTTTTTTACGCTGTTGTCACTCCACAGTATTCTCATTGGCATTTGGTTTGGTTATAATAATGATTTTCCTGTACATTTGTTTATCTTTTGACAACAACGTTAATTACAATATTTTCACAACAAAAAAGCAACGAAATTATTGTTTCATTTTAACAGTTAACAATAGGAATAAAAAAAAAAGTTTAGAAGAATATGCATAGTTGTTATTGTTTTTTTTAGTACCACTTAAGCCACGTTGATTTTTTTTAATATATGTACATATATAATAATGCATTTGTTATGGTAGTTTTTTTTTAATTTATGAAGAGTGTTCGTTTATATGACATTGTTTTAAACTTTATTTGTTAAAATTTGCATTTTCTTTTATTAAGTTTCTTTTTTTTTTTGGAACTATCTACTCGGCATTGTTTGTAACGTGGCACTTAAAGCTAATTTTTTTTATCTTTTTGCAAAGATTTTCTATACAAACATATATATGTAAAGAGTATAAATTGTATTTACTTCGCCATAAAATTTTGTAATAGCCTTAAAAGTTCATATATTTCGTTATCGCAGTGCATCACGTTGTAGCAGCGTTCCCACGCGACAGACAAAAAAATTGAAATAATAATTTTAGAACAAATTATAAAAAACTGAAACGTATTACAGAGAAAAGTCTAAAGCAATGTAAATGTTTCGTAAGTTTAACTTAAAATTAAAAATATTTCATTTAATTGTCTTTATAACAATTTATTTAAGCATTTTATTTTGTTTAAATTTGTCTGAATTACTTTAATTTAGTGTTACTTTTTATACTTAATTTTTTTTTATTTAATTTAATTTAATTTAATTTTATATTATCCTTTTTATTTTATATCATTAAGTTAAATTTTCATTCTATATAGTTTATAGTTTATAGTTTTGTCTTGTTTTGCGTTTATTTTTTTTATCTCGTTTTGTTTTATTTCATTTTTTGTTTTTAACATTATTTGATTTTAATTTTCTTATTTATATTTTCAATTCATTATTTTATTTTATTTTATTTAGCCTTATTTTATTTCTGTTTGTAACTTTTGCGATGAAGGCATTAGATTTATTTATTTACATTTATCTTTGTATTTTTCTCACAGTTTTAGATTTCATCTTTTTCGCATTTATTTGTCTCGTTACCATGTTTTTCATAGAAGGTTGGCACATTTATTTTGCAATTTTTTTTGTTTTTTTTTTCGTTCGTATTTTCTGTTTTAAATTCATGCTAATTATTCTTGTTGCTGCTGTTATTGCTCTAAATTCATGTCACTTAAAGAACAAGCAACTTCATTCTTAATTTTTTTTTGCGGCAGCAGCACTCAATGTTGTTTTTATATTATCTATGTACATATGTATGTGAAGTCACAAGACAGCTATGTTAGCTTCTTTGTACTTTGACTTATATACATATACATATATTTGCACTGTATATAAAAAAGTCTATACAAAGCGATTAAATTTTAACGATTCGCCTTCGTTGTTCTACTTGCCTTCAAAGACAACTTTGACAGTGCATACATATTTATTACAGATTATTTGTTGTTGTTGTTATGTATTTTACAAAACACATACTGCAAAATTTGCTGCATTGCTTACGGTTTTACGTTCCATTAATGCTTTGTATTTAGGTTTCAGCGTTTCTAGCTGTTATTGTTGCAAAAAAAACAGCATTCCATACATATGTATGCACATAAATACGTTTGCTTATTTATGAGAATTAAATCTCATATACATATCTATGTACATGTGAATATGATCATATAAATTTATAATTCAGAGCGTACATTTTTCGATATAAAAGTTGTTTATTTTCGTTTTTTCTTCATTTATATTGTTTTCTTTCTAATGCAGCGCACTTACATAAATATGTCATATGTCATTCCAGTAAAAAGCACAAATAATTCTATTATGATTTCCGCCATTATTATTCTCAATGTTTATACAGTTATGTATTTGTCATTCAGATCAACAAGAACCAACATGCATTGTCAAAAATTTCATGCGATTCTTCTCATACTTTAACAGGTTACTCATACGCCTATGAGCACCCCAAATAACGGCTACCCTCTGATTCGTTGTTGTTCGCTCATATGTATTATAATGACGCTCTTTTGTTTTCCAACACCATGAGTTGTTGTATTTTTCTACTTTTGTTTTTGTTCGTTATTACTAGTGTAAAATAAATTAAATAAACTGAAAACATATAAAAAATAAAATGAAATAAAATTGAAAAATTAAATAAAATAAATGAAATTAAAAAAAAAAAACCACATAAAATAAAACTAACCGAAAAACTATAAGCCAAAATAAAATAAACTGAAATAGGATAAAAAAAGGAATAAAAAATTTAATCAAATAAAATTTAAACCAATGAAAAAAAATTTAATTTAATTCGAAATCAAATAAAAAATATACTCTTATAAAACATGGTTACACACTTTTAATTCACACGCAAACTACACTAATAATCATAAAAATGTTTGTATATGCAACTGAGCATAATCGAAACTAAATTCCGAACAATTATTTCTGTATGCGACAGACATACATATATTATATATTTACATATGTATGTGCTGTTTAAAGATATGCACTTGGCGCTATTTACGAGTTGTCACATACTTTAGCCTTTTTTTGATGGCGCAAACGAACGCATGCTCGCACTTATAAGTTATTTATTAATTCGTTTTTTATTTTTACTAACCAATTTCGGCTTTTCGCATGCGTAGCATACATACATAGTGTAAGTGTTGTAATATGCGTATGTTGTCTGGCACAAGAGCTTATCTATTGCACACTAAATGCTACTGTGAATGGATGTGGTAACTTTAATCGGTCGAACTTTAAAAATTTTAATTTGCTGCTATGATACATATTAGCTTATCCTGGTTTTTAAAGTTAGATGATGATTTTAAATTTAATAATTTATTTTTTTTTACTTATTACATTTATTATATCTTAAATTTTATTTTATTTTTTATTGTAGTTTACTTTTTATTCTGTTGTTTGACTTTTCACTACATTTTATTTATTCGCTTTTATTTTCTTTACTTTATTTTATTTTATGTCAATTTATTTTATTTTAGATTATTTTAATTTAGTTTTATTTTATTTTAGATTATTTTAATTTATTTTTATTTTTTTTTTAGAATATTTCAATTTATTTTTATTTTATTTTAGTTTCTTTTTCAATTTAATTTATTTAATTTTTTTTTATTTTTTTTACGCTACATCTTTATTTCCATTCTAATGTACTTTATTATTATTACTTTATTATCACTCATTTATTTGTTTATTTTTCTGCATTTCATTGTGCCTCTAATCACCCAACTATTTTTTTTGCATTCCGCGGTTTCCTGCATTGAATGTCAAATTTATATAAAAACCCCAGTCAAGCAACAATATTTACTACTTTAAATTAAAAACATGTTCATATGTACATACAATTGTATGTACTCCGAAAGGTCAAGTACGAACAGTAATAATAAACCGCATTTAGCACCACTTGCGGTAGCTAACAATAAACTTCTAATGGTATTAACTATAAATATTTTCGTTGTTTGTTGTTGTTTTTTTTTGCTCCACTTTTCTTCACAAGTTTTGCCATTTAGCGCGTATTTCATATTGATATCTATGTCATGCTTGTGTTTTTATGTAAATGCATATGCACGTGCATAAAGACTACAAAAAAATTGCCATATGGCATACAAAAGAAGTAAATAAGTAAATAAATAAATAATAATAATACAATAATACCCCTCTCAACGCCCACGAAGCGCAAGAGTAGTCGGTAAGTGCATGGAATTCACACCTACGCGTGCATCAACGCGAAGGCAGCTCGACTTACTTTAGTGCTGTTATGTATATTATTACATTGTGTACATACATATGTACACAAGCGAAAATATGATATTACTGTGCACATATTTGCATATATTAAATGCATTTAAGCTTACAAGCAATCGCACAACCAAATTTATCGATTTTCCTCCCGACTGTTATCGTTCATCTTTGTTAGAAAAAAAAAACGTGCAAATTATAACCTACTTTTATTTATACCCTTGCTGTTGCCACTTTTATTTTATTTCCAGGAAGGTAATTGTGAATCACTTCCGAATTATATCGGACGCACCAATGCCGCTGGCATCGATTTGAATCGTGATTTTCCCGATCGTCTGGAAAATCAACAAGTTAGCCAATTGCGTTCGCACAAACGTCAACCGGAGACAGCGGCCATCATCAATTGGGTGTTAGGCAAACCGTTTGTCTTATCGGCGAATTTTCATGGTGGCGCAATTGTAGCGAGCTATCCATATGATAACTCAATGTAAGTGTAAATCCCATACGATCACCATGATGAGGAGGTAGTTGGTGTGATTGGTGAGGTGTATTGAGGTGCACGCAGGCAGCAAGCGGTTGGTAAACGAGTTCAGAATCGGGTTTGTGTGTTAGCAAGGCAAATTGATGGTATTACGTGAGCAATAATATACATATGTATGTATTTATGTATGTGCATATTGTTTGTTTTCGGGATAAAAGTGAAAGGATTTATCTGCAAATTTACTGTATGTAAAATACATACATATGAGTACAAAACCCATGCTTACATGCAAAAAAGCAAAATAAAATGAAGTAAATATTCATAAATTATCAGCAAAGAAAAAACGATTTGAGTTAAGAAATAAAAAAATATGATACAACAAAATTTATATCATAATATAGGAATATTGGTAACTAAAAACTAATAAAAATCGCAATCGGTCTATTAAAATATTTCGGAATTAGAACTAAACTATTTTCAAAGAAAAAATATAGAAATAGTAATAATAACAAATTAAAAAATATATCAAAATAATGAATAATAATAATTTATATAAAAATAAAAATAGTTTATATAAAATTAAAAATAATTTATACAAAAAAGAGTATAAATAAAAAAAAAACAAATAAATAGTAAAATGAAATAAACAGGAATAATGAATAATAATAATTTATATAAAATTTAAAATAATTTATATAAAATTAAAAATAATTTATTCAAAAAAAAGAGTATAAGTAATAAAAATAACAAATAAACTTTTGCAAAATTATAAAGTTTATTTTCCATGAAACAAAATATTGAAAAATGTGAAAAATAATAAAAAATTTAAATATACATATATATGTATATATATAAACATTAAATTTTTGAAAAGAAAAATCAATACTGTTATATAAAAAATTTTACAAACATTACAAAACAAATTTTAAAAAATATTCGTATTGATTAAAATCAAATAAGAAAAATAATTAAAAATTAATGTCTATTTTCCGTAAATTAGAAAATAAAAAAAGCAAATAATTTTCTCTCAAGTCAATAAAATTTGAAAACAAAATATTGAATGAAATACGAAATTTTTAAAAATAAAAATTGTGGAAATTAAAATGTTCATAAATTTTAACTGAATTCTAACTTGTTTATTTAAAAAACGCAATAAATAATAAACAGATAATAATATTTTTAACTAAACTTGAAAGAAAGATATGTTCATATTGATTTATGAAAGGAAAAGTTAATCTATTAATTAAAAATATACTTTTTTAAAACTAAAATAGCAAAAAAAATTGAAAAAATTTAAATAAAAGTTTTAGAAACACAAAAATCATAACTTTTAATTAAAAAAAAATACAATTTAAGTTTTAAAATTCTAAAATTAAATATACTAAAATGAAATAATTGAAAAATATAAATATAAAATATTAAAACATTGATTGCAAAAATGTTGCCTATATTTAGACGCAAAAAAAAAAAAATGCCCTCACACCTCACTTATACCCCTACCAACACCTACCAAACAAATTACACAGAAACAAGACAAAAAAAGAAAACTCAAAATTCTCTATTTACCTTACCAACAACAACAGCGCCCATCATGAATGCTGCGAGGAGAGTCTCACACCCGACGATCGCGTCTTCAAACTAATGGCACACACCTACGCCAATAATCATCCGATAATGCGCAAGGGCCATAACTGCAATGACACCTTCACCGATGGCATAACCAACGGTGCCAATTGGTATGAGTTAAATGGTGGCATGCAAGATTTCAATTATGCCTTCTCCAATTGTTTCGAAATGACCATTGAGTTGTCGTGCTGTAAGTATCCGACTGCCGACACGTTGCCCGCCGAATGGGCACGCAACAAGCGCAGTCTGATGCAGCTGCTGAAATTGAGTCATATCGGCGTGAAAGGTCTGGTTACGGATGCTAGTGGTTATCCAATTGCTGATGCAAATATTTTGGTCTCCGGCATAGAGGATAAGCCGATACGCACGACAAAACGCGGCGAATACTGGCGTCTGCTTACACCAGGCATTTACAATGTGCAGGCATTAGCATTTGGGTAAGTCGCAGGAAGACGAGAGAAGGTGAAAATATGGAGTTGATTGTATTTTATTAACGGTTGCATGGGAAAAGTTTGCGAAATTGAGCTGGAGTAGGTGGCTGTGTGTATGTGTGCCTGTGTGTGTGTGCGTATAAAGTGGAAAATTTTTGCATTAAACTTATATAAAATTTGAATAATGTTTATACTGTTTTATATTTTCTCCAATGTCTTTTTTTTTTGCTGCAGCTATCAGCCCAGCGAGCCGAAACAGGTGCATGTGACCAACGAGAATAGCGAAGCACTACGTCTCGACTTCGTGTTGTCACCACGCGAGTTGAATTATGATGGTATAAGCAGTTTTTACAATAACTTTTTCTATAGACATTAAAAAGCTCAGCTTTGGTAGCTTTTTTCCTCATTCATTTCACACGGTTTTTGTTTCAATACTTTCATGCGTTCATTAATTAAACACTTTCTTTTCTCTATGTATTTTCAAAATCTGTGAAAAGTCAAAATTTGTATGAAAGCTCAAACAACTAGTTGGCATAAAGTGTTAATAATAATCTTTGAAGCCATGATTTGGTGTGTTCGAAAAAATAAAAACAAATTTCAATAAGTTCTTTTTTCAAGCTTTAATTTGTTATGCGAGCTTTCACACATTTTGAGATAAAATGCACACGCAGACATTTTATTATTATTTCTTTTGCATAAAAAAAATTACAATTTATTTTCATGCATTTTTTTTTAAAGCTCACATTCCACTTTTCACATAAACTTTCATTGGTTTCGGAAACTTTCACTATTTCGTAAAACATCTTGGCTGAGTATATTAGAACCAACATTTTACATTCACTCTTCATGTATTCTATAAATATTTAGTGATCTGCTATGGAGCTTTCACTAAGAAATTTAAACGAACTATAAAAAATTGAACACACACCAACGCACAATTGACTATCCACATTGCACATTGTCTTTGTATATGATTTTACTCAACAATTCATAGCTCCCTTAACTTACCTGCATACAATTATACATACATACATATATACACCTACATATATGCATTATTCAATATGTATGTAATCTACTTTATTAAAGAGTATACAATGAAAAATGAAATAAAATTATTAATAAATAAGTATAAAATAAATACTACGTACTTATACATACATATACTTATGTATATACACATAAAAATATAATTAATCACTGTTATTGTTATTATCTATGTGTGTCTGTGAGGAATAAATAAAATAAAAATTAAAAAAAAACCTTTTTTGTGTCCAATTATTTTTTCATGCACTTCATTATAAACATATAAACGTATTTATTAATAATTCACTCATAATCATAAAAACCTAGCAGAAATATATTGCAATATATAAATATGTAGAGAATATATCTGTAATTCATACTTCTATAAGAAAAAGAAGAAGAAAATTTACCAAATTCCTTTAACTTTTCTTTTCGTGTAACCAACTGTTTAAAAATCGTATGACTTAGCTTAGGAAAGCTTTTCAAATTAGCTTTTATACATAAAAGTATATTAGCCGATTACCACGTGAACTTTCACAAGTTTCTCATCCCAACTTTTCAGCATTTCTAAATTTAAGTTTTCACAAAAACTTTTATCAAATATATTAAATCAACTTTAATTTGTATTTTTGCTTTCGCAGAGCTTTCAAGTGAATTTTAGGAAATAATAATACACAAATATAACAAACATATTTGAATGCTCCTAAGGGAACTTTCTTAAAGGCCTCGTGAGTTTTTTGCTTTTATATGTAAGCAAAGAAACAATTTTTCGAAGCTTCCGCATAAACTTTCACATATCTGCCATTTATAGTTGTTAGCTTCAAAATTGTAAGTTTTCAATGAAAATTTCATGTTATTTACTATTGTTGAGCTGAAAAGCTTGAATTTTACTTTGCTTGTGCGTTCGCAGAGCTTTTATGCAAAAATTTGCAGAAAAGTTTTCGAATTCATATTGTAAACACTTTTGTTGTAATATTTTAGCTTATGGAGTACTTTCAATTGCACTTTGTCAAAAGTTTTTGTCGCAGAGCTTTCATTTCGCTCTTACAGAGAAAGGCATTTAAGTCCTCTTAAGCGAACTTTCATGCATTTTTTAGCTTTCATGTAAAACAAGAGCTTCGGAGAACATTTGAGGAAAGACATTCAAGAAAGAGCTTTCATAAGCATAATGAAAACTTTGTTTTAGTTATTTAGCCAAAAACTTTATACCAAATTTTTTAACAAGTTTATGAATGAGCTTCCAAGCATGATTTCTGTACATTTAGGGAAAAAGGTATAAGCTATGGCTAGTTTTCAATAACTGTAGTTGTGGTTCAATTAAAATATATAAACATACAGGACTTAAGAGCTTTTTTATGTTACAAAGCGAAAACAGAAACCGAGAACTAATGAATAATTTATCTAACAGCGTGTAGCCACAATAAAGCATGAATAAACAAGCAGAAAATTTTATTTAAAAAAAAAATTAATAAATAAAACAGCCAGACCGGATTTTATTGAGCAAATAACGATGAAAATTCACAGATTGCACGAAAAGTGTTAATTAAATGACGTAGCCGAGCGGTTTAAGTGGTTGTTGCTTCGAAAGCTTCAAGCTTTAATATGAATTTTGAACTACGAGTATTCTTTTTCAGTTAACACTATATATATATGTCTTTTAATGATGCCATTAGCACATTTTAAAATTGTTAATTAATTTATGAAAAATTGTTTGGCGTACATTTTGGAGACTTTTGGAAAAAATGGCAAAAGTACAGTAACAAATTTGTGATGAAATTAATTAAAAAATATTCATATATGTATAGATAATACTTCAAATATACCAGAAAGAACAAAATGTTAAAAGCTTACCTATTCAAATATATTTTACATCTATTCATTAACATTATTATAATTACCTAATTATTATTATTATTATTATTATTATTATTATTATTATTATTATTATTATTATTATTTTTTTTTAAATATAATACGTTGAAATACTGTAACTTCACATAAATTAATCACTATCAATATAAAAAATAAAAAAAATTAATAAAGCAACCCTGCGTTGTATTACTGCACAGCCAATTTGTTTGCCAATTTATTTTAGAAATTTACTGTGTGAAGATTAACACTTCATAATGGTCATTGCATCTATCCCTCTGGGACTCTCCTATAATAATGTGCATAATTATTCACTGCATCTACCTTAACTGTTAAAATTTATAGCATTCTCCTTTTTTTTGTGTTTTAGTTTAGTAGGTAAAAAGAAATTGTTTTTGTTTTTACTTTTAAAATTCATTTTTAACTTTTTGTTTATATAAATTTTTTATTTACACCTAAACAGAAACTAATTTTAAAATTAATTGTTTTAGCTAAAATAATTTTTTTAATATTTTGAAATATTTTATGAGAATTTAAATTAATTCCAAAATTCATTTTCTGACTTAAAATATAAAAGACATTTATTTAAATATTTTTTTACAATTTGTTTTCCTTTCTTTAATTAATTATGTTTCATAATATCTTTTAAATTTTTTTAATAACAATAATTTCAAAACCATTTTTAGTTTTAAAATACATATCTAAAAAAAATTTCAACTATATGCCAAAAATGAATTAGCTAATTTTTGAATGCTTTCATTTATTTTTTTCTAATTTTTATAATTAGTTTTATAAATTCATATTTTTTTAAATTTTATATTTTTTATTAAATTATATATTCTATTCTAACATTTTTAAATTTAATTTTTTTTTGTAATGAATAAATTAATGTCATGTCTTTATATAAAATTTTTAGATTATCTTTTAGTTTTCTATTTTAAATTTTATTTAGAGTAATTTATTTATTCTAATTTTTTATATTACATCACTTACTCCAAAACAGCCCTGCATATTTTATTTCCCTTTTTGTTAATCACAATTTCTGCCATCCAAAGAAATAATCGATTTTTGTTTTGTGTTTAATCGTTTTCATTATTTCATACACATCTAACCCGGTGTTTTGTTTAATTTTTTTATTTAATAATTTTTGTTTTGCGATGGTATTTTTCACTTTTTTTTTATCATTTTCGTCTTCCCCTTTCACGCAAAAATTCATAAAAATATTTTTTTATTTTATTCTTTCCATTCTCTACATGCATTCTTCTGCTACCTTTTTCTAGGTGATTTTCGCAAAGTGAAAGTGGAGCGTTCGAAAGCGCCAACAAATGACGATGATTTTCTAACACCAACAAAATTCGAGCATCACAACTTTACGGAAATGGAAAAGTTTGTATTTCAATTTTTTTTTTAGCTTTTTGATCACAAATAGCTGAATGCAAGAGGTGTTAGAGAAAAAGTGATTTGAAAAAAATGTAATATTTTTTCTTGGATGAGCTTTTTATATAAGCTCTCAGATTCGGAGTTTGTCAAAAAATATTGAATTTGTTGTACAAGTTGCCGAAACTGAAGTTTTTCGAAATTCTAACCTTTATAAAAGCTGTCAAGGCATAAAAGCTTAATGTTAAAGTTCTGAGATTCCAGGATTCTCAATAAGTTGAAATAACCACTTCAGTGCGCCTTAAAAGATTTTTAAAGCTCCCAAGTCTTAACGTTCTCCATGCCTTGAAGCTTCAGAATTTTACCAAAATTATAAGAGCACTCATATTTTTTTAAGCTTTCAAGGTAAGTATTTACTGAATGGCATTTTGATGCAAAATTACGGAATAAAATAAGAAAGATCACTCGAGTTTTTAGCGCACAACCGTTTATTTTTTTTATTAAATATAATAAACTGAAAAACTTTAAAATGCGTGAAAGCTTTCTGTTTAGTGGCAGCTCTTGTTTTCACAACGACGCTGAACTTATAGAGAGTACTTCTGATTGAAAATATTCGCAAAAGTTCCTAATAGCGAAAGCTTACTCCAGAGTCGCTACTGCAAAAACCAAAAAAAGCTGTCTTGAAGCGCAATAAACGAAAACTATAAAAAGCTCCCCAAAGGGCAGTACACTCTGTCTAAATTGAGATGCTCAGCATCTTCACCCCCCTCTACCGCAACAGCTTGAGTTCTGCAAAAGCTTTTTATGTCTAATTTATTTTCAAATGCTCTGCATAAACTGTGACTTTTTTGGATTTATTTTATATTATTTTTTTCTTAATTTTTTCCAATATGCCCAGATACCTGCGCAACATTGCCGAATCCTATCCGAGCATAACACGCCTCTACTCGATCGGTAAGAGCGTACAACATCGCGATTTATGGGTTATGGAGATATTCGTGACCCCGGGTCAACATGTTCCCGGCATACCAGAATTCAAATATGTCGCCAATATGCATGGCAATGAAGTCGTCGGTAAAGAGATGCTTCTGCTGCTCACGAAGTACATGTGCGAACGCTTTGGAGTCGATGAACGCATAACGAAGCTGGTAAATACGACGCGTATGCATTTTCTCTACAGCATGAATCCCGATGGTTATGAGGTGTCGCAGGAGGGCGACAAATCGAGTGGCAAAGGACGTGCTAATGCGAATAATATCGATCTGAATCGTAATTTCCCCGACCAATATGGCACCGACAAACTGAACGCAGTGACCGAACCCGAAGTGGCGGCTGTTATGAAGTGGACACTGTCTCTACCCTTTGTGTTGTCGGCGAATCTGCATGGTGGCTCGTTGGTGGCCAATTATCCATATGATGACAATGAAAATGATTTTTCCGACCCGGTTGCGCGTCTACGCATGGCAACCACTATGGGTAGAAAACTAAATCCGACAGAAGATCATGAGTTGTTTAAGTATTTAGCGACCGTTTATTCGGAGGTGAGTTTCTTGCGAAAAGATCATTGTGCTGCCCGTACTTAGCGGAATGAATGTGTAACTTTTGTTCAAACTTAACTCGTTTGCTTAATCTTCTAGGCTCACCCCACCATGCATTTAGGCCAGGCCTGTCCACTATTCAAGAACGAACACTTTCCCAATGGCATTGTGAATGGCGCACAGTGGTACAGCGTGACGGGCGGCATGCAGGACTGGAACTATGTACGCGCCGGCGTTTTAGAACTGACGCTTGAGCTGGGTTGTGACAAATTTCCAATGGCAGATGAGCTGCCCAATTACTGGCATGACAATCGTGAGCCGTTGTTAAAGTTCATAGAGCAAGTGCACAATGGCGTGCATGGTACGGTGCGTAGTTCCATCGGCTCGGTCATTGCGAGTGCCGCAGTCCGATTGAATGATGCAAAACATGTCAGTTACAGTTCTGCGAATGGTGATTACTGGAAGTTGGCGCTACCGGGCAGACATAACATAACGATACTGGCGGATGGGTAAGTGTTGGCGAAGCGCTCATGATTGGAGTTTTTTTTTTGTAAGACTTGGTGTTTTTTTTTTTTTGTAGTTTCGCTCCCTACCGCGAGGAGATCGCAATACCGGAGGACACACGTGAAATGCGTCTAGATGTGATACTTATGCGTGACGATCCTCAGCACTGGTCCTCGGCCAATGATTTCCGTGTGATTGAGAATGTGGTGAAGACGCGCTATCACAGCAATCCGGAAATACGACAGCGTTTAGCTGAATTTGAAACTCGTAACGGACAAATCGCGACCTTTGGCTACGCAGAGAGCGAGTTCGGTATTTACTACAACTCCATTAAACTGACTGCCGATGTAAGTATTTGGCAATTGTTGAAAGTGAAAAGATAATTTACGTAAAAACTACTCAAAATGCTCACAGATCGGCGAGCCGGAGGAGTCCAAATACAAAATTCTTATACTCAGCTCGTTCTTCGACACCACCTCGCCTTTGGGTCGTGAAATTACAATGAATATTGCGCGTCACATACGTGAGGGTTATAAAATACGTGACACGAGCACGTTGAACTTATTGCAGCGGAGCGTTCTTTACTTGTTACCGTTAACGGAAAACTTTGATGTGATCTTCAATATGTATAACAGAAAGTACGTATGACACTAAACACTTGACACTTGCTGAAGATCGCTTGATAACTTACTTTTATAATCCTTTCCCACTCTTTGTCTTTTTCACATGTTTAGCAATTCACTTTGCGACCCCGAGATGGGCAACGAACTCGCCGATCGTTTACTCAGCCCCGAGTCGGAAAAGAAGCGTGACTTGTTGTTGCAATTTTTGGAGAACGAACGTTTCGATTTGGTATTAACTTTTACCGCGGGCAGCTCGGAGTTGACGTAAGTGCTGCGCTCACCACATTTGTCCAAGAAACACCAAATAATTCAAATTTATTCCATTCACAGCTACCCCAAAGGCGAACCGATTATCGAGAAGCTCGCACACGCTATCAAAGACAGCGAATTCAGCACTCAACCTCATCAATGTCCACTCAGCAGTACACGCTCGCTACACCAATCGTCCACCGAACGTCTAACAAATCTCCTCTACAAAATGTACAACATACCCGTGTTCAGTTTAAGCCTCTCCTGTTGCCGCATGCCAATACAAACGGAGATCGCCTCTATTTGGCGCACAAATATCGATAAAATCAAAAATTTCCTTCGTCTCATTGAAACCGGCGTCGTGGGTCAAGTGCAGAGCGATAAGGGCGAGCCTCTGCGCAGCGCTTACATACGTCTTATCGACCATCAGCACGTGTATAATGTAACACGTAATGCGGCACGTTTCCAAATCATTTTACCCGCCGGCGAATATGCTCTAGAAATTAGTGCACCCAATCATGAGTCACTGGTCAAACGTGTGCTCATCACACCACGAGAGCTGAACAATTTGGGCGTGCTGAAGCTGAGTTCGTACACATTACTAACCGGCGGTGTGAGTGAGGTGCATCGTTTGGGTGGCGGCGATAATGTGGGTAGCGCCAGCTCACTCTCCCCACAAACGGCGACCATCTCCGGTTTCGTACTGGACACCAGCAATCATCCGGTGAAGCATGCTAAAGTTTCTGTCACAGCACCGCAAACGCGCAACTATTTGCGTAATTTCACCGACAGTCTGGGCGCTTACAGCATAAGTGGCATACCGTTGGGTGAGATCACTTTGAAAGTGGAGGCGCCACGACATGTAGGCACTGGACGTGTGCTGCATGTAGAGGGTGGTGCTGTGCGTGGCGTCATTTTCCGACTCGGCGTCGACGAGCACGTGTGGGGCATGCCACGTTGGTTGTTCATCTTCTTCGCAAGCATCACCATTATAGTCGGCATGATCGTGTGCTTCTTGTGCGTGCAATTTCTTTTGGCCCGTCGCCATCGCGCCGATAAACGGTACTATAGTTTTTCGCTGTTGCCACAGAAGGGCAAAGAGCTGTTCGAGGATGATGGCGAGGATGGCGAGACGGAGTTGTTCAGGTCACCGATTAAAAGTAAGTGTGTTTTGAATTTTTTTTTTTAACATATTAACGCTCAATTTTTATTTTAGATTTGTATTTACTTTAGTCTACTTTATTTTTTAAAAATAAAAAACATAAAAATATTGTTTAAAATCTTGCTTTTAAACTTTTTCCTAATGAAATTATTTTGCTGAAATTTTCTTTTTTTTATTTATTTTTTTTTTTTATTTATTTTTTTTTTATTTATTTATTTTTTTTTTATTTATTTTTTTTATTTATTTATTTTTTCTATTAATTTTTTTTTATTTATTTTTTTATTTATTTATTATTTTTTTTTATTTATTTTATTTTTTTTGAATTTCTGATTACAATTTTTTAATATTATTATTTTTTTATTATTCTCACTATTATTTCTCTACACTTCTCTTAGAAATTTTGTTTAAATTTTTTATTTATTATTTTACTATCATTTTTATAAATTTTGTTTTCATTAAAATGTTGTTATTATTAAATTTTATTCTAATTTTCTATAAATTTTTTATATGTCAAAAATTTTTTTTTTAAATCAGTAGTTGATTAAACTTTTTCACTAGTTTTTATTTTTTTTTTTTTTTTCATTTTTGAATTCGTAATTAAATTTTTAATTTGATACAACTTTTTAATTTTAGTTTTTTTCATTTTATTGAATTTGTGTTTTTTATTCTTATTTTTCTGAAATATTTTGTAACCATTATTTTTTTCAATATTATTTTTCCAAAAAATTTTCCTACTAGAATTTCCGATTAAATTTCTTTGTATTTTATGATAAATATTTTTTAATAAAACAATGGATTTTTATTCATATTTTTTGAATATATTACTTTTTTCATTTTTGCATTATTTTAATAGTTTTTTTTTGTACTCTTTAAGAGAGCATGTCCATCAAGCCCTATTACGATGTTGAAGGTCTCGAAATCGAACGTAGCGACGACGATGATGAAGACGATGATTTCCGAAATGAATTTAATGAGGATAGCGGTGAAGAGGTTGTTATGCTGGATAAGCGGAGATAAGTAAGCTGTGATCGAAGCAAATGAAATCGTGAAAACACAACAACAAAAGTAGAAAGCCAATAGAAAAGACGATAAAAGAAATGTTGAAAAAGAGTTAAAAAAGAAAAGAAAAAAAGAGCTGCTGCTTGCATTTTGTAAGCAAAGTATGCAACTGGATTTATTTATAAAACGCAATAAATTATTAATTTTTCATTCCTAAACAATTAATATTTATGTAAATTATTGCCAGCTAATTAAAAATAAATTATTCAAACGTAAAAAAATACAATTAAATATTACAACTGCCAACCTCCACCAATCGAATCTCAAGTAAAAGTTAACACTTAAATTTTTGATAGAAAATGTATTTAATAAAGTTTTAAAATTTTTTTCTAAACAGAAACTTAAAACACGCTTATGCTTTCCGCTAAAGTTATTGTTCGCTTTGCTCAAGATTTTTAAATATATTAGAAAAAAAAACAAAGACTGAAAAAAAAAATCCAGTTAATTAAATTAAAAAAATTCTGGCGCAGCTTATTAAATATTGCTAGCAATTTTCTACGCATTTCTTTTTATTATTTTTGTTGAATTAAACAAATTTTGTACTAACAGAATTAAATATATATAAAAATGACTTTTTTTATATTTTTATTAATATAAATTTATCATGATAAAATTTGTATCCATAAAAATTTAATACAGTAAAATATTTAATTTCCTATAACATTTTTTTCAATTAATTTTTATTAATTTTTTTAATTTAATTTTTATTAATGAAAAAATCGATTGCTTATTTATTGCTGATTATTTTATTTATTGTATAAAAGTTATATTGAAGGCTAATATAAAACCAATTTAATAACTTAAAATAATAAATAATTTAATTTAATCATTTAAATTTTTATGAATAAATGTGAAAAAAATATTAAATTTATTGATTTAAATATTTTGTATTAGCTTTTAATATATTTTGTATACAATAAATAAATCAATTTTCAAGTGAAAAAAAAAATTAAAAAAGTTGAAAACTTGAATATGTAAAAAATTTAAACAAAATTCTTATTTTTTAAATATTCTCAAGGTAAAACTAGTTTTTGAAAAAAGAAAATGTCAATATAGTGCAATAATAATATAGAAAATTAATTTAAATAAAACAGAAATATTTTTAATTTAAATTAATTATTTTAAGAAAACATTCAAAATTAATGTTTTAAAAAAAATTATTTCAAAAACTCAAATCAACTTGAATCAACAATAAAAAAAATATATTTTTTCACTTTTAAAATTAGATTTCTCATTTAATTATTTATTTAATTTTCATTAATTTATTTATAATATAAATTTTATAAAAATAAACCAGTGCTAGTAATAAAAATAATCCAAAATAAAATTCAAAAATTAAATGTATGTACATATGCAGTATGAAATAAAATGAAAAAATAAAATAAAATAAAATTAATAGTAATTAAAAAAATATACATTTACAAAATCTAATTAATTTTAAAATAAAGTTTCAACAATTGATTTGCAATTTAATAAATTTGAATTAAAATACATGCATACATTTAATTATCGAAAAATTATAAGATGACGTTTTTGAAATAAAATATATATATATTAATATTAATAAAAAGTTAAATGTGTGTTATTGTACCAGTAAATGAGCATTCCGTGAATATTTCTTTTCAGACTTTTTTTTTAACAAAATATTTAAAATGGTTGTACGTATGTATCTATGTATTCTTAATATACACCTAGATTTAGGTTTTTTTATATTTGTGAAAAATTAATAAATATATACATTCATATGTGTATATAGATTATATATTTTAGCTGTGCAATAAATTAAGAAAATTTAATAATAGCATCTCCAAATTAACAAAAATAAAATGAAAAAAACTATAAATAAATTTAAGTTTTAATAGCTTCTAAAAATACTTGTGTATGTGTGTAATGATATTGAAATAACAGACAGCTATTTACATACGCATATTTGCAATATGCTAATTATAAGTACATATGCATGTACAATATTTTTGTTCACAAAAATGTGAAATATAAAAATTTATATCAGCACGTAATTAGGCTTTAATTAATTTTTATGTAATTAATGTAATAAAAAAAAATTATAAATAAAAATTTTATTTCTTTTTTGAGCATTTAATAAAAGGTAAATATATCTACATATACAAGTCCTTATGTTTTTTTTTGCATGAAACTAATACATGCACCTTAGCAGTGCTACGCCGCCTTATTGAGCACCAAATTTGCGCTTCTTTATATGGCTGCTGTGGTAGTTTTCATAAGAATTCACCATCTTCCGTCCGTCACAAATCTCTTCCTCCAAGGCTCCTCATGGCTTTTTATGTGATGGGTTACAAGCTCGCGGAGAATTCTTTTTCACGCCGTGTACGTCGAACAATTATCCCAGTTCTAGGTTAGGACTTTACAATACAGCTGTGATTAATCTAACGTTGCTTCCATACATTTGGTCAATTTCTATGCTCATATTAGAGACGGTTAGATTATGATTGCTCTTGTTTAAAGCAAATCTAGGTATTTGCAGACGGCTGAAACGTACTCCATCTCTACAAAGAACATGTGGTAAATACCTTACCTCGCTACTTTAAGGTAGTTAGAGCTGACAAAACTTTGTCTTAACGAAATTGACCATTCAGCAATATTCACCGGCTTCGAAACATTTAGTAAATCGTTAGAGAAAATTCTATGAAGCGTGTTGCGTTGAATATTAAGCAAATGTCTTCGTATAACCCCTTTGCATCACAGAGAAGTTGCAAGCACTTGCGGTTAGCAGTGCAGATATACTTTGGCTGCATCTTACAGTCTGGCACACTACCACTGCCTCCTCCATCAGAAACACTGCATCCTTATAGTGGATGCTGCTCGCTCATCGGCACACCGACCAAACTTGGACTTTCATATATAAATATACATATACATATATCTATAATTGGTGAAGCAATCTACGGACGAGCTCCTCCTCCATTTTGTTGTATGCGACTTGATATTTTTCCCTCAAAATGGATGGTCCTTCAACTCAAAAATACCCCCTCTAAGTTAAGTTTGACACATTTAGAAAAATCTTTTCTGTAATTTTGGAAGCTATTCAAGGATTCGAATCCATAGCTCTCGGTTATTTAACCACCCGATTAGCTAGAGTGGCAGTATGGTGGCTGCAAGGTAGATATATCCTTTCATTCTATATCATTAAACAACTGGAAAGTGCATATTCTGCGTCCGCCATTGAATCGTTTCCCGCGTGACAAATCCTAAAGCCAACCTCTGAGCTCGTCACGCGAAGGTTTCAGAACTGGACGCTGGAGACAAGGCCGACGACAGCTCGCAGGCGCTGCTCTTGTGAACAGAAGCTATCATAGAACGAACAAGCTTAAATGGCTCCATTAAAGTATAGAATTTTTGTAAGGTTAGATACTTTTTGAAACACTGTGATTTCTGGCAAATATTTGTCCCTTAATCAAACCAAAACGAACTTATGTACATTAGCGATGGAAATAAATACATTTTATATACTAATCGCACATAAACAACGCATTAGTTTATGACCAAAGGTTATCAAAGCAGCTCTCGTGCTCGAGCGTTTCTTACGCCACACATACTCGTACATGTTGTGATAAGCGTCCTCCAAACAACAACAGCAACAGCAGCAGCATCTTTTACTAACTCGCTTTCTTTTCTTGGCTTAGCACACCGCCAATCGATGTCTACTATGCCATTCGCTCGCAGTTTGTCAAACTAATCGGCAGTTTAGAGATTAAACACAATTAAACATTGTCAAAACAAAATTTTGTTGCCTTGCAAAATTCTTTCACTTTATTTATTTTTTTTTACGATTCAAGTGTCATAGGAATTATATTATTGTTTGTGTGCAAAGCAAACAGCGGAAAAGAATTAATATAGAACAGACACCAAGCCGCGCACATTTTGAAATTGTAAACACCAAAACAGTAGAAATTGCTATTCTTATCGGTGATAACCTTTTCAATAACATAAAATAGCAAAAATAAGTGATTAAAACGCACTAGACACTTATGTTCTTCAGCAAATTTTGAACTTGCTCTTAAATTACGCGCTACGTCATTTGGCAACAGTTAATTAAGAACCCCAGCGGAAGTGAAACGCAACGCCGGCAACGTACACAAATTTATTTGAAATATAAAAACAAACTAAAATTCACCTAAGGCCATGTTAACACGTTGTGCTACACGCCTCGCGCATCGTTTGCAGTCTGCACGTCGTCATTTCAACAGCAATGTTGCTAGCACCGATGGCGATGCCAAAGCGCGCTTGGGCATAATCGGCGTACCCTTTTCAAAGGGTCAGGGCAAGGGTGGTGTGGAGAAAGCACCCGCACTTCTGCGTGAGCATGGCCTTGTGTCGCTGTTGGAGCAAGTTTCTCATGGTAAGTTATGTAGAAATGGTACTCCGTATTAGCATTAAAAAGATGCAAATGAAGAAAAATGCTCAGATATGATTTATTTATGCGGTTTTTTTATTATCTAGAATTTTAAATTAATGTTTATACGTTCACTAAGCTTTCCATTTAAGTGAGTAGAGATATAACTGCATTATGCCAAAAGTGGCAGCAAAAACAGAGATTTTATATTGTTTAGAAAGCCAAGTTTCGTGAATATTAATCAGTTGTTTCAATGGGTAATATCTATATAATATTATATATGTTTATGGGTTATAAACTGTAATAATACACCGCTCAGCAAAGAATTTCATTTCTTTATAAAAATCCATCAGCCGTTCGGGAGCAATTCAGAAGGATTTATACGTTTTTTCATTTGCGGGAACAAAAAAACCAATCTTTTGACTTATTCCATTAGGTTTCCCTATTAAGCCTCAGCAGTTTAATTTTATTTACGTTTGTCACCTGCCGTAGTCTAACTGAAAAAATGACACTGCTGGTGTCATATATGTAGGTCAAGCATTTGTCAGACATATTTACGACCAGGCAATTTCTGCTTTTTATCTGAAAGGGTCTGCTTGGTCCTTTCTTGTCTAGCTAATTCATCTGTCTTATAGTTTACCATTAGTTTGTCCGTGTAACCAGAAACTCGATCGAAAGAGTGTGTGTTGTGTTCAGCCAACAGCATAAGAGCTCTGCGACAGTTCGCCACAGTTTTAGAGCTAATCGTGTCAATATTCCACGTGAACCAACTTCTTAAATTTTTGACAGTTTTACAACATATAAAACTTTTGTCCTTTTTACGTTATCTAAATGCTTATTTAGTATTAACAAATATTAAATAAATATAAATTAATGCCGCTAAATGCTATTGGAACAACCATCTTTTTACAGCATAAACCTATTCACAATCTCTAATTATGTGCATACATATTTATTCACTTTAAATTTCGACAGGCAATATGGAAGTGCACGACTACGGTGATTTACAATTTGACGTCGATCCGATACCTACAGAAGCGCCCGAATATAGTAAAATAAAAAATTATGGTGAATTTATGGGTTGCAATAAAGCTTTGATTCGCAAGGTGCAAGAGGTTTTGCAGGAAAGCGATCAATTTCTGACGATCGGCGGTGATCATGCGATTGGTTTTGGTAAGTAAAAAAAAATGTATTGTTTTGTGTGAGAAACCTTATGAGGGAGAGACTTTCGAAGAGTCAAAAGAAAGACATCTACAATTTATAGACCTTGGTTAAGTTCCAAAACGTCAGTTGCAAAGCAACCATACATTGTCACTCATTCCTAAATGCAACTATGCAGGCTTTGACAACGTATCACGTTCCAAAATGCATCGGTAAAGCATTGATTCGCAAACAAAAGCAAAATGCGCATCCTCGGCAACAACGGCCGACGTTGGAGGGCAAGTTTTTGCCCTATTTACTTTTTTTTAAACATTATATTACTTAATTTTTGATCTGTTTTCGGTTTTACCCATTTTAGCGAAACGCAACTTATGAATTCGCACGAAAAGCGTTCCAAAATGGCGGAGTTTTTAACGCAAATTGATAGAACGCAGGATTACATTTCTTTTGATTTCGCTACCGCATCTTTACAAAGTATTTTGATGTTTTGAAACTCGTCCCAAAGGTCTTACAAAGACGTTTCTCTTACCGTTCGCCACCTGAAACTCTTCCTAATATTTCGTCATTGCCTTGAGGCCACTGAGCCACAGTTTTTTTGTTTTTAACTTGCGGCAAAGATGAACGGAATTTCATTGCTTCCTGGTTGTTGAAGATGCCGATTGTCGTTATTCGAGAATTTAAATCTAACGTGTTCCGGGCAAGAGTCGTCGAAACCCAATGACATCTCATTTATTATGTCACAACTGATTTTTCTGTTTGGAAGGAACATTATTTCGCGACGATATTCGATTTGCCCACATCACTTTTCACTCCCGATTATACTGCTTTGTTGACGAAAACTCAAGGGCTACTGTCAAATAACAATGAAACCACGCATTTATACTAAGTGTGAGCCGTCATAAGCTGGATCATTTTCGCAATTTATTCTGACCTCAAGAGACAGCGTGGGAGGTAGAAACTTACCTTCTGTTGTATGTCTATTTAAGGCCCGTTTTCACAATGTCCGATTAGCTTAAGACAGACGCAGAGGCCTTGGCGGAAAAACGAGAAGTCTGGTAAAACATTTATGTTGAATTTGAGATTCAAGTGGGAGTTAAGAGCAAAATACGAAAATTAGAAGAGGAAGGCTAAGAAATCTTTGGCGAAAGAAAAAAATGGAAGGGTACAAGACACGTGGCGGACCCTTTAAGTAGCGGCAAGATGCCAATACTGAAAGGCTAGCTGCTTCAATGGGGTAATCTGCTTGATTCCTGAATATATTTTTCATAATTAAATTTATTTCAAAGCCAACACCGGAATAGTATTTTATTTATTATTTTACAATTTCCAGCTATCAAATTATCTTCTGGTTAAGAGCTAATCGCCACTCAATGTTGGTGTTAAGTTAACTGCAACTTAATTGACAGATATGCCTTAACCGGACATTGTGAACATGAATTTTTTGCTACCTTCCGATTAAGTTATGATTAAGTGCTGAACTGGAAATGGTGAAAACGGCCCTAGATTTCGCGGCAACTGGAACGATGTATTGAAATTACGCGTAACAGCATCGAGCACTTAAATTAATTATGTATTTGTACATATAATTAGCACTTTATAACCGCTGACGAATTTTTTTCTCCGAAAACCGTTATGAAAAAACAGTTTAATTAGAAACTTACAATAATAGTTTTCTTATTTTCAAAACTAATCCAGACGGTAAGAAGTTGGCTGCGAATGCCAATGCGAATGAGGTTGCCATATCTTACGACACGAAGGTGTACTTTCACGATACAATATCTCTCCATATTGTTCCTCGTTTTCTTTCACACTTTTCTAGCAATATTTGTCAACTTCATGTTATTTATTATATTTGCAAAAAATTTGAATCTAAATTTTTTTTAATTACTGTTTAATTTGTAGGCTCTGTCGCCGGCCATTTACAACACACGCCCAATCTTTCACTCGTCTGGGTGGATGCACATGCGGACATTAATTTGCATAATACCTCGGAGTCTGGTAATATTCATGGTATGCCTGTCTCATTTCTACTCAAGGAACTACGGGTCTTCTGGCAGCATGCAAAGCTTGAGCAAACGGCGCCAGTATGGTAAGTTCCGAATGGACAAAATTTAATTAATAGTAAAAACGCAGATATACTTACTTTTATATAAAATATTTTCATATTTACATATATATGTGTTTGTATATAATCTGACGTGTGACTCTACTCGTAATCACTTGTACTTATGCGTTCAATCATCTTACTCCTCTATGTTTAGAGTACATATTTTATTATCAGCTGTGATGATAAGAGTGCTTAAAGAAAAAAAATAAATATTATAATAAACAAAAAATATATTTTTATTTTTGGCTCAAACTATTTTTTATTTACTTTGTTTTGCAAGTAATTAATTTTAATTAATATGCACTAGAATGTACGGGCGAGTTCCGAAACGTCAAAATACTTTGTAATATATTCTTAAAAATAAAAATTATCGCAAAAAACTTGCGATCCGACGTCGGCCGTTGTTGCTAAGAATTTATGATAAAATAAAGCATTATAACCTTTGATTTTGCTTGCGCATTAATAACTTTAACGATGCATTTTGGAACGTGATACATCGCCAAAGTTGGCACAGTTGTTTTTAGGAATGAGTATGGTTGCTTTATAACTGACGTTTTGGAACTCACCCTATGTATCAAATGTGGAGGCTAATATAAAGAGTGGGAAGTAAAATCAAAGTCATGTATTTTCGAAATATAAAAATTTATTTTTATTTTTTTTGTACATATCGGCAGGACAGTTTGAAATCTGCTGCATTTTTATTACATTTTCCTTTTTTTATTTAAACTCTCCGCCCACGCAGTTCTTGCAGCTGAAGAGTAAAAATTCATCGTTGTTAAATTTTTCGAAATAATCCCGGTACTTTGTATTTTCCTTTACTAAACGACCCTGTTGTTGCAAGAAAATTTTGCAACAAATGCCCTTCAATCTGACGGCAATCACTTCCCCTCACCACATGTTAACATGTTAATGGTGGGTGGCTCGCACACTCGCTCGCCGTCTCTGTTTCTGTGCAAATCCATTGGCTCTAATACTGTGTTGTGAAATTTTCATTTACGAATTAGAGAAAGAGTTTTAGGTATTTTTGCTTTTTTTGTTTTAATTCAAATTTGTCTAGTGATTTTACCATTGTTAGATGTATATTTATATATATCTAATTGTATATTTTAAAAACAGTTACTAATAAAAATGTATATGTATATCACAAAAGGTTTGCAATGTAAATACTTTGTACGTTACACGGTTGCATTCGCAGTCTTATCAGAAATACATAAAGTTCAACACTTAAAACTATTTGTACTTTTTTACATACATTAATACAGAGTTTAATTGAAAGCTGTTTGATTTCATACAATTTAATTTTTTTAATTTTTTTTTGCTTTAACTACTAGCAGAAATACTTTGATTGAAAAAGAAAATAATCAAAAAAATTTAATCAAAAACAAAATTAAGAAAACAAATTCAAAAAGTGAAAATAAAAATAAAAACAACAATAATTCAATTTCGTGAGCATAAAAATTAAAGATTAAACAAAATATAGAGTAAATCAAAATAAAAGGTTAGAATGATATGTTGAAAAATAAAATTAAAAATGCGTAACAAAATTCAAATGCAATGAATGAATAACAAAAAGTTAAAATAATAATAATAGTTCAATAAAATTTTATAAAAAATATTATTAAATAAATAAATAAATAAATCATTCAAAAAAATTCCGTTGAAATAATGTATTGGAGAGTTAAAAAAAAAACACCTCTAAAAATAGAATAAAAAATAAAATTTTCAAAATTAGATTAAAATATTAAAAATTCAAAAAGAAAAAAATTATATTTCAAGTTTTAATCTGAAAGTAAAAGAAATAAAAAACTAACAAAAGCACAAAAAATAAAAAATTTAAATTAAAAATGTTATTTAATAAAAAAATGTATTTAAATAAAGATAAAATATAATTAAAATTTATTTTGTGAAAACGTAATAAAAAAAATTTGCAATTTTATCAAAATTATATAAATTAAAAACAAAATAAAAGCTTTTAGAAATAAATCTCAAAAGCAAAATATTTAAAAATTTAAACGAAGTATTAATACTATAAATTAAATAAGGAAACAAAATAAAATATTAGAAATGAAATATTTGAAATTATTAATTTAATTATATCGTGGTAACTTGAATAATACAAAAATTTATTTAAATGAAATTAGAATAGAATGAAATCACTTTTCGTGAAAGTAATAACAGTTTTTGAGAAAGTAAAAATTACAAATTACAAAATACTAAAATAAAAAAAAAAAAAATGTAATATAAATAGAAAAAACATATAAAACATTAACTTAAGATAAAACTCATAAAGTTTTTCATAAAAAATCTTCTAAATATACATACAAATAAACTGCATTGTGTTTTGGTGTCATTTTCATCAATAAGTTGAATGTATTTAAAAAAGTACAAAAACATATAAATATTTAGAGAAAATATGTAAAGTTACAAACTAAAAATATCTAATAAAATTTTATCTTGCAAAAATATGTGTATATGTTTAAATAACAAATTTCAAAAATAGACCAAAGTTTCGAAATTAAATTGAACATTTATATTTATTTAATTCGTCAAGAAAAAAAAAACTGTCTAAATGAAACTTTCTAAATAAATATATATTTCCATATAAAAAGGCGTAATTCTTTCATGAAATAAAATAAAATTATAAATATATTTTTATTTTTATTATAAGAGTTTTTTTTTGTGAAAAAATGTTTTGTGCACTTTTTCAAATTAGGTTTTCTTAACAAAAAATTATAATCTCTGAAAAAATGCATAAAATACATAACCTAAAAATCTGCGAATAAATAATATTGTTTTTGTAATGGCTGATACAAAACAAATGCAAATGCTAGAATAAAAAATTAATAATACAAAATATTAATAAACTATTAATAATTTATTACTTAAAGAAAAACTAAATTATTTGATTATTTAAATTTGAATAAATTTTAAAAATAATAAATAATTATTTATAACGCTTATAAAACTAAATAAGTGTCGAATTGAAAACTACAATTACCTAAAATGAAAAGTTTCGAGGAACTGTTAACATAACCTAAAAAATTTAGAGAAATTCAATTCATTGTGTAAATAATACAATACATAATTTTAAAAAATAGTGTGTTTTTATATAATTGACAAAAAAAAACATTACATTTCGCACAAAAAATCATTTAGCGCTACATTTATATATAATAATAATCATAATTAACATATTATTTCGAAATTATAACATACAATCTTGGTTTGTGCTTAAAAATACATACGCATGTAGTTGGCTAAAAGCATAACTTAAAAGCTATTAATTATTTGCAAATTGAATTGAATGAATTCTATATTAAATTAAAAATGTGTTTTCTTTTGTTTTTTTTTTTAAATATTTTCTTAACGAATTAACGCTTAATTAAGTAAGCTCTTTTGTTTAAAAGAATAAAAAAGTTTAACTAAAATAGTATGTTTTTAATGCGAATATTGATTTTAAGTTTGAAAAATCCAAAAAAAAAATCCTTTAATTTAACTAATTAATTTTTACAAAAAAAAAATTAATTTTTCTGATCACTTAATGAAATTTGTACATAGTGTTAGTGTCTTTAACGCTAAATAATTTTTAAGCCATGTATTATGCAAATGCTTGTATAAATAAATAAATCCATATTCATTTTAATTACATAATAAATGTATAGCATAAGTAGTACGGCATTAGCATGTTCAACTTAAAATTACTACAATAGAGAATAGTTGAAATTCAGAAATGGAAATCTGCTAGCAAATTCTATTTAACCTCAAAAATATGTATGTTTAAAAAAAAAAAATGTAAGTGACACTCATTATGAGCGGGCTAAGATTTTCGATTTTCGCGAAAGCCAACGCAATCATTTTAAAAAAATAATATTTTTTAAATTGAATTCATTCCACTTTTCAGTCGTGATAATTATTTACGTTCGAACGCCACTTTTGGGATCGCAGCCGCTCATAAGACGAGTCAATAAATTACAGCTTGTTAAAAAAAAAATAACAAAAAGTTTTGTAAAATTTTGCTTTTGGTTGAATGTGTTATTATTGACACCGAAGCTACATACATAGTGTACATATATGTATTAATTATTAAAAATCATTTCCTTTAATTTGATGATAAAATTAAATTGATGATTGATATTAATGCTTGACTAATGCCATGTTTCCACTGTGAGGTTAATTTAGTGATTTTTTTTATGAAATCGAGTTGCCAAATAAGTTGAATTTTTGACAAAAACTGAAATATATTCAAAAAAAAAATTGTTTAACTAATTTTTGCTATGAGTTATGAGCAATTTTTTTTTTTGGTAGGGAAATAAATTCTACGCATCAAACTCGCAATGGAGGCATAGTTTGTACAATTCACTAGAGTTTTACGGTGTTTAACTTGATTTTATATACAATAAGAAAAAACTGATAAAAAATTTGTAACTTACATACGCTTACCAAAAATATTATACACTAAATTTTTAAAGAAAAAAAATTACTTTTATGTTACTAAAATATAATAATAATAACAATAATACAATGATAATAATAAGTAATAATAATTTTAGGAATAATAATCAATAATAATAATAATAATAATTAAATACTTTGTACGTGAGCGGTTGGCGTTCAAGAAGTTCAAATAATCTGGGATTTTATTTTTTTTATTTTCATATATTTTACTGTGAAAATTAGCACACAAACACCTGTAAATAAACAAATCAGAATTAAATTAAAAATGTTACAATACAAGTTTTGGCAAAAATGTACGACTAAGTAATAATAATAACAATAACAAATACAATAATAATAATAATCATAATAATGAATATTTAAATAGAAAAAGGCAAATACAAACCGAGCATATATATGTATGTATATATATTTTTTTGTGATGTAACACAATCAACGGTCGACAAATTTTGTGTACGAAAAATGAAAGAAAGATTTTTGAAATATTATTTGGTTTCTTTATAATAATAAATTTTGCTTTAAACTCT